GTACTTTTAGATAAATTTAGTTTTTTGCATTATGATCTTTAATATCTTGGAAATTATATTAGGAAATGATATTTATAAAAATTATTATGATATTTATATTTGTTCCAGATTTCAACTTTTTACATTTTATGTACATTAGTTTAAAATCTCTAAAAACTATTTATCATCCATAAAATGCAAATTTTGTTTATTTTTAATTTTTTAATAATCACATACTCTCTTTATGGTTTCAAGCAACATACAAGACCTAAAAATAATATTTCTAAGTAAACCTAAACAATAAATGAGTATTTTTTATTTTTAACTAGGATTTCATGTTTATATATGTACGTAAAAAACATTTAAATTTTGTGTCATAAATGTGTTTTTTATTTGAAGTTTATGTTTCATTGCAGCGGTACTTTTGTTTATTGTGGTAAAAAAACATGAGGTTAGCAGTGTTAACTTCATACATTTTCTGGAAACTATCACTGAGTTTTAAACCATTTGCAAAATATCAGAATAAACTTTTATATATCAATTAGACTGTTTTAATTATAAAGCAACAACAATAGAAGTGTGAGTCTTACTACAAAGTAAAGATAGTAAGAATGAAAAATATAAAATTCTGGTGATACTAGTAGTACGTACAAATCACAAGGTTATCATTATAAATACTTAATCATATTTTTATTATGAACTAAATATAAAATTATGCTAAATTATTGAACTTAAAACTACTAATTTAGATGCAAAAGAATATAAAAATCACAAACTCTTTTAGTTCAAAGTGTTAAGCCTAATTCACGTAAAGACTATGCACTCGCCACTCGATAGATCTTACCCCTAACATTCGTGAATCAGCTTCATTCCTAAAAATATGTCTATTTTGAGTTAATTTTTCAATATAATGATTAATATAAATAGATATATGATACAGCATGATTTAAGCTACTATAGAAAAATCATAAAAGTCACATATATTCCATGCAGTATTTTCCAGAAGAATATTTTCTGAGACTTACAGAAAAGTACTATTGACCACTACTAAATAAACCTCTACATAAAATGGCAGTTACTATAATAAACACCATCCACGTTCATACTGTAAAATCCATTTTGTTACTGCTTTGCTTATCATCCTATGATTTGTCAAATGTGAAATACAGCGACTGGAATAACATGGTACTGAAATTCACACCTTCAATTAGGATTGGCTAAAAGTTTTACAACTGAGGCGTAACACATCCAGATGCTGGACGTGTTTTATATAGAAAACAGGCTAGAAAAAAGGTTTAGATACCAATCATAGATGGCAGGATCAGTGCTAAAGTGCAAGGAAAAATTTTTTTAAATGTTGAAAAAAAATTTTTTTCTTAGAGAGCACTTATTTATAGTCTCAAAAGTATTTTTTTATTAAACTTCTCTTCAAACTTCATTAAATAATACAATTTATGACAAATAAATGAATGTTATGCAACTATTTACAAAAATAAAATCTAAAATCCAATAAAAGATAAGTCCTCTATTGCCCTCACAATAAGACAAATGGCCCCGGTAGGTAAGGGGGTTAATGAACCACCAAATCAGATGTCATTCATATCATGTTAAAGCTATAATCAAAGACTGGAGCTTTTTTCTTCCATAAAGCCACTATATTTGGAACATAATAATATTTTTGTAACTTCCAAAGCTAGAATAATAACAAGCACAAAGAATGCAATGCCTATAGGATTTATAATTTAATTAATAAAGCTAGAAGTTGTTTGAAATAACTCCCTTACCTAATCGATGTGTTTCTGGCATAAGCAACTATGAATCTGTACACTGAATTATACAGGAACTGTTATCACAGATTGAAATGCTTAAATAATAAGTAATCCAATAGAAAATGTCAGAGAAAATTACTGAGATTTTTTTTTAAAACAGTATAAGAGGGGTATGAAAGTGGGTTTCATTTTATTGCATATATCTCACTAAATATGAAGGCATCCTATAGTACAATTGTGAATTATGTGGGAAGCTTATAATTTCATACAGGGGAAAAAGGTAATCTAAGTTAGGCAACTCTGGGTGAAGAAGTGTCATGTAATACAAATAGGTGAAGATTGAGAATGTATTTAAGTATTTTGTTTTCAAGTAAAAATTAAAACTAATACATTATTCATCTTTGAATTATAAACTATGTTTTCATGCCAAATTTACTGATGTACATTGATAATAAAGATGCTTAATTAAATTTTGAATGTAATTCTGTAAAAGGTCATGATACATGCACTTTGACCTGACTTGTAAACATAGGGTTAATTTTGCTGTGTACAGCACAGTTACAGATATTTAAGCTGTGCTGTGTAAGGTTGCAGTTAATTACTGACATACAGTATAATACAATTCAAAAAACTAAATTTTCTGTAGTAAAACTTTTATTCTGTTAACCTGTTTTTGTACAAATTACCATAATTGTATTCTTACAATCCACGATAACTTACATATCACTTGTCTGCAAAGATTGAAGAAATTTTTTCATCAAATTTTGGAGTTCTTGAACATGATTAGTTTCTGATTCAACAATGTCATTAAACACCTGAAAACAAGAACAAATTAAAAATCAGTATTGATCTTAAAGAATGGAAAAAGTAATACAAGATATGAAGTATCATATGGCTATTTTAAACTTGATACTATGATCTGTAAATTTAACAATTATAACACACATGAAATATTCAAAATTGTTTACTATTTTCACATAGAGAACTTTTTCTTAAAATAATTTTCTTTCTATTACACATACTATGTTGGATTTATTTTATTACAATGAAGAAATTGGTTTCTCATATGTTTCTTGTTTCAAACAATACTCTGAACCAATAACAAGATACACTAATAAGTATAAAAACAATTGATATGTACACATCTCTCACCAATGTGTATCAACTAAAGGTGTGGTTATACAGTGATACGACTGTATCAATATATTGTCCGATATGATATGATATATATACATCTTCACGAAATTTGGCAAGCTTTCAGCAAGCATTATGTATTTTGTCTAGAAAAAATCAGAATTTCTAATAGAGTATTTTTGCTAAAAATTAATGATTCAATAAAGGAAGATGAGTATTGAGTAATACATATTGTCTTCATTTCTTTTATCAAAAACATTACATGCAAAGTAACATAACCAACTAACAATAACAAAATAGATAGACAGATATGAACTTTTATTTTACTTCTCTTGCCAGCTGCAATTTAGTTAATCAAACCTGAGAATTTGAAAAAGCACTGTAAAGTGTGAAGTTCTTAAATAAGACAATGTTAGTAATATAGATAATAAATTACAGACAAGACAACTACTTTATCTCAGTTGGTTAAAAACAATATATTTATTGGTTTGACAAGAAGAACAACTCTACTTATACAAAACTTAACGGATGAGCTTTCTTTATTTTAATCAAATATACTATTAAACTTACACAACATTATAAACTAATCAATATAAAAACTACTGAAATGTGTTTAAAATATTTTTTGTTTGTTCCAGATATTTATCCAAAGCTACACAAGAGTTATCTGCACAAGCCCTCAATTTTGAAATGACAGACTAAAGGGAAGGCAGCTGGTCAACAGAACCCACTACTCAATTCTTGGGCTATTCTAATCAAATAGTGATATATTACCATCAATCTTATAATTTCCACAAAGTTCCAAAGTGCATAGCAATATTTATTTTTTTGTGATAATAGGATGCAAACCTTGGGCCTTTGAATCCCCAGCCTAGCATACTAACAAGTAAGCCATGTCCAGCTTCTTTATAATGATAGCAACAAAGTTTTTGTGCTATAACAACTAAGAAACTGTCCTTATTTCTGTACAGACATTTTCAATACTCAAATAGTTCCCTTTTTTTAAGGTTCTAGTCATGTTTGATGACTGAATCCTTTTAAAAGAAATCTTTTTAGTATCTTTTTTATTTGTAGGACCTTTTTTAAAGAATACAGAAACTAGATAATAAAATGAGCTGACACAAAATTGTATTATATAAACTTGCAGATACGAAAGGTTTTGGTTACATTAGTTAAGATACTTATGAGACTTCCCAGTAAAAGCTGGGATATGGAGACACAAAATAGAGAGCAAATTCTGGTGGCTTAAATATTCAATATTACATACTGTAAATCATTTCTGTTACACACACCTAAACCTTTAAAGCTCTAACCAACTCAAACCTCATAACCATCTTCTAAATATAGTATTGCCTACAAACCACATTTGTTGCCATAAATGTTTTAAACATTACTAACATGTTTAAGTCAAGAAAATTTTCTATGAAATAAATATTACTTATCACGTAATATTACTTATTACTTATCAAGTTTGATTTTTCAATGATTTTCAATACAATGGTTTAAAACCATTTACATGACTTTATAGTAGTGAATTTACTACAACTGCTTTTTTTCCTATTTAGCTTCTTATACTGTCAACTGAGTTTGAATAAAGCTGACAAAAATGTGAAAATTATAATTTTCCTATACTGAAAATTAGCTATTCTTGTTCAGTACTACCCTCTATATGCAAAATACTTTTATAAGCATGCCACAAGTCTTTTTTTCCCCTCCATTGGAAACGACACATTCCAATGTGTCTCTCATACAAATTATCATGCGACAACCCTCCACCAATGAGATTGCCATACACTCTCCTTATGCATGTGACTCCCTCTATCAAATTCTACCAGATTATCACTTCAAGTTTTGGCAGAAAACAGAAGCATTGGTTTTCAGTTTGGAGGAAGTGTGAGAAGAGGTAAGTACCTATTAGAAATACATTTTTAATATAAGAATATTATAACTTTTGATACAGTATGGTACCTCCGCTCACATAATTAGCTAGAATCCCACATTAAATAAGTGGAGAGACTGCTGCAAGGGAAGAAAAGAAGCAGCCAAAAGACACACCTTGAGACTAGAGAGTCAGATCGAAGATCAATGTGAAAAACTGCACTATTTCTGAACCAGGTATACTCTTCGCCCATCTGAGAAAAGGGTTGTATATATGTGGAAAAAACAAGAGGTGTGAGAAAAAACAATGAAAGTGTCCCCAGGTGTAGAATGGGTAGATCATGATGGACCATACTCGGCAAATCAACTGCATTCAAAACCCATGCCACTGGAAATCGACAGAGGGGATCTCAAACCCCCCTGACTATGGAACAGGACACATTAAGAATAGAAAATTATATATTGACCCAGGAACCCGACATCCAGAATGGAAAAGATGTCTACCACAGAGAAATCAACTCCCTCAACATTGAAACTGACTGAAACCAACCCAGGTGCAATAATGCCCTCGGAATAAGATACATCAAGGGAGAGGAGAAGGAAAAGAATCAGAACAATCACAAGTACCTCCACCATGACCCACAACACAGATGGAGTATGATTGAGGGAAGAATATATAGACAGCCATAATATATGTGTGAAGACTTATATTGATTGGTTCTACTCCAAATCCAAAATCCAGCCAGTGGGCACAGACTTCCATGTGGGAGTAGGATGAGGGATCCCAACTGAAGAGGTGAACTGCAATTTGACATTTCACTCCTTTGGTTTACATATGTGTTATAGCAGAGGATATCATGTCATCTACACCAGCAGAACACCACTGCCCTACTCTGCAATAAATGGTATTTCTGTATGGATATTTTATGTCATTAAACCATTCAGGAGGATGCCTCTACAGTCCACCAGCCCAGCAGCTTAAAACTGGAAAGTGGTAAGGATTCCCAAACTCCACTAGAAGAGTGGGGAGGTGAAACACGGTGGAGAGTCCAGAGGATTGTCAACACCTGAGACAGTGCAATGGTGACCACAAAACCCTATTTTTAAAAGCAGACCATACTGATTTATTCAATATAAGGCATGGCAGGGATGGGCACATATACCCTTCTTCTTTACTCATTTAGTCTATGGGTGGTATGGTACAGAACAGGCATATTTATGAAGCAATTTCATTACGAGGATATCACTCAAGCGATCTTGTGGAACACCCTTCTCAACAGTGTGCAAAAAGTGTGCTGTCAAAAAAGTACAGCTTAATTTTCTTTGGACTATGTTCTTTAATTAGTTGTAAAAATATTCACATAAGTTATGTGTTTTGCAATACTAACTAACAGTGAAAATTACAATGTGTGTCCTACATTACTTAATATAAGAAAAATACATATTTCTGTTACTTTCATAATATAGTTTGAATAGAGAGCTGCCAATACTAGGGCCAGATAAAAAAAGAAATTAAATTTATAGTGGTTTTTGATCAATTATGAACACACAATCTCATTTGAAATTTGTTTGTTTTCAGATATCTGTACAAAGCTATTTAAAGCCTATCTGCTCTAGTCGTCTAAAATTTTTTAACAAATACACTACAGAGAAAGCAGCTAGTCATCAGTGCCCAACACCAGCTCTTGGACTACTCTTGTCTGGCCAAGTAGTGAAAATTGAATGTCATGCCTATAACACACCTACAGTCCCAAAGTGCAAAGTGGGATTTTTTTTTACATTTTTGGTGCTAATGGGATGCAAACAATGAACCTATGGATCTACAGTCCAGCACGCTAATCACTGGTGAGTTATGCCCAATTCTTGATGTTTGTTGAGTTACACAACCTTTTGTTTTTAATTAATCATTTATATATTTATTATGAATTAATGTTAAACCATCAGCAGCAATCACCTTTGCCTAATTTACCAAACTGTACACAGTAGTTTAAGTTTACTGAATATTTATATGACTAAAGATACCTCTTTTTTTCTCCTTCTTAAAAATAATTAGAAAAAAGTGTAGCTAATTGATGTAAAGTTTCAAGATAAATGGACAAAATGAAATTCTACTTTTATGATATTTAACTGGTCTTATCAATTAGATGTCACAAGAATTCTGATTATCACTTTAGTGCTTGTACTATTTGCTAAAACAATTTGTTTAGATATGACTTTTTCTTTAATACATATTTTACATAGTATAATCTATTACTTCAAATTACTTTATAAGATAGAGTTGATCAATATGGCTAATGCAACAAGTTATTTGATACGTTGACTGTCACAACTTTCAGCACATATTTCACCCATATTCCCTTATAATTATTGACACACACACACACAAAAAACACAACAGCAACTCATGAAATATCTAACACTTAAACCCACCACTTCTCTATATAGTTCCAAGTTTTCTTGATGAACAGACAAGGCAAAGTCTGCATGTTTGGAAACTGGTTGTTTAGATCTTCTACAAGAATCTGAATATATAAAAAGTTACAAATTAGCAATCACTAGAATAATCAAATATATTAAAATATATCATTTCCAAAAGAATTTTGAATATGGTTAAAATAAACACGTGTTATTCAATCATTTTTTTTATTCTGCTTATAAAATAAACTAGTCTTTTTTGTAATAATAAAACCTTTTTACAAACCATCTGAAGGGAGCCCATGGACCAAAAATTAAAAACTAGGCCCCTACTATGCATTTGTGTATGTTTTGTTACCCTAGCATTAAAGCATGCAATCAGTAGTTATTAGTGATGTTCTCTCTCATAATCATGGTAGGACAACTTAATTATTACAGAAAGGAAACAGCAGAATAGTGTATAGAACCCACTGTCTGTGGTCTGCTGAGATTTAAAAAATACATTCAGTTTGTCAACAATAACAAGTTTGAGAACTAGTGTTACAAAATACAACAAGCACAACTTTAAATGCCAAGACTATAATATGTTTCAAGTGACAGGTACATACATAATAAAATGAGCATTTGCTGTATAAAATGATGCTATTTTCGCATTTTGTGTAACATATATACAGTTTTTCAGCAACCTCATTAAGCTGTTGGCTACCTTCCATATCAAATGAAGAAGTCTCCACACATTTAAATTATGCTTGCTTAGGGTTGAACACTGACTCGACTTTCATTTAGTAGACCAGAACCAAATTTCTTCAAGTAGCATATCCATTGTAGAATATTTCACATACTCAAAGCACATAGAATGGTTGTGATTTTTAATGAAAATGTGAATAGGAGATTATCAAATATAAATGTATATATATGACAAACTGGTTCAACACATGTTCAACCATATATTGATTTTAGTATTTAAAAATATCTGTACCAAACAAATAAATTCCAGGTATAAGGATTTGTATGATTTTGGAAAGATGAAAAAAAAATGTTAAATGTAGTATTTTTCACTTTCGTGAAATGACACAATTTTGAGCATGTTATGTACTCAAGTAAAAAAAGTTGACCTTTAAAACAAAATTTGTTTATCTTACCTGGTCTATATTCTTTTACATAGTTGCTAGGAAACCATCCTGTTACCTCTTTCAATGTTCCTTCCCACCATCCTCCCTCAACTATCTGAGTCACAGTGATTATGTCTCCTTTTATAAAGTTTAACTGGAAAAAAAAAAAAGACAAACAGCTTCAAAGCCTTATCAGTCATTGCCCAATATTAAAAGCAGACACATCATTGAGAGAAAAACAAAGCCTCTTTTTCTTGTTAAATGACCAATGTCATGAGTTACAGAATATTTTCTAGAATGTATTAAGGAAGATACTACAGTTATGTTTCAAGGGGCCACTCTGGGCTTTGCCAAAATAATATTTTGAAATTTTTTACTTTGTTGGTGATAAAATTTAGCATTTGGCAATATTTTTGTGCCAGCATTTGATGCCAGTAAAATTTCAGCATGGATTTTTCATTCACATCATAGTTACAACATGGCATCTGTTTCCTTTACAGGCAGAATCACAGGTAGTTAATTTCTTCTGCTTACATGTACAGACACTGTATACGTGTCAGTTCAACAAGAAATAAAATAGTTAAGATTGTGAAATACTTAAGGTACAGTATCAAACACTGTAAAAACTAATAAATGCCATTACATATCATAATGATGTTCAATTAAGTTTGATCACTTCTCATAGGAAGTTATGATAACAATCGATCTTTGGTCCTCATATGACTTTTCCCACGCTGAGTTGAGTAATTTTTTTTATCAACAGCTGCTGAATGAAAAAATAAAAGAAGTGTTTATTCAATCCAGTTATTATTTCTTAGCTTAAATTGCATATATTCATATCATCAATAGAAAGCCTAAATTAAAGTTTTCCTGTATGGTGCAGATTGAATTTTTGTTTCAGTTATAGCAGTACAAAAACCTTTCTTGTAAGTAGGCTCAAATTCCTTAAACCTATTAAATTTGGCATTTCATTAATTTCCTGTTTTTTTTTTAGACTGGCTAGTTTGCAATAAAACAATTATATTAATCTTGATCATTAGTTATATATTTCAATATTTTCCAGCACCTTTAAATGATATAATTTTATGTCTTAACAGTACAGTTGTGACACTTGCATTTAATCAAATAAAGATACAATATCCATTCAATATATATAGATAATCATTTTCATATATTTATGAAGGAGCTCAAATTCTCAGGAGTTCAAATATGATTTTTTGAAAATCAAACTGAAGTTGAACCAATTCAAGTCGAAAAAAAGATAATTTACACATTGTTCAAAATTTGGTTTCTAGTTGGCTTCTGGTTTTGAAAGTGGGTAACAGAATTCTGAGGTTGGCAGTTTTTTAGTACCAGCTTTTTATGAGCAAGAAAAATTATTGTGTTTGAGAAATAAAAGTTAATATTATTTTGAACACAAAATAAAAAAGTACAATTGTCTTTTACATACATTGGAATATGATACAGTACCTTACTTATAGTGAAAAAATTTAGATCCTAAGAACTGCTGTGAAAACATTACTTTCAGTTTATAAGTGTAAATATTAAATTATTATTAACTTCTGATCAAAGAAAGTTATGTACTTAAAAAGAAACAAAAATTAACCTGGCAATCAGTGTAGCTAATTGAATATACTTTTCTACTTACAAAAATTAGAATAAATTGTTCCATCAGAAATATACCCTCACTGTTAATGATATTTTTAGCCATAATTCCAATAATCTCTCATTAAGTTTGGCCAGATTTATAATAAAATAGTATGCCATTGTTACAGAGAAGTTAGATTTCTGTCTTTAGTACACTATTACAAAATAAACTAACTCATCATTAAAAATAATTGTACTTAGATTTCATGTGATAAAACTAGTAAATATTCTTGTTACAGTGAAAACAAATTCACTCCAATCTTACAAAAATATAGATAGTACAACATTTATTATTTGGCAAGACAAAGTGTGATACTAGATGAAATCTTTGCAAGTATTAAAATGACTTATACGGTTGAAATCAAAATTTTATAAGAAATATTAAAACACAGCAATACAAAAAATCTATAATTATCAGCATTTCAGAACTTTGTTCTAATTCCATCATGAGCTTGAAAACCTTGAAAAACAATTAAAGTTAACATTTTCATAAACTGAAAATGTATTTCCAATAAATACTTACCTCTTGTCACAAAATAGCTTTTCTCAATTAGCACTGGCCTCTATTAGTGCAAATTTTCAGTGCTTGCCACTAGCCTTCCACTTCCTGCTTCTACATATCCACATGTAAGTGAGACACAATCCCTATCATAACCAATGCCCTCTCCACACTTGCACTCATTAATCACTTCCAGATTGGTCATATAACCTAGATCACATATCACTGGTGGGAAATGTGAGAAGAGGTAAGTATCTATTAGAAATACATTTTCAGTTTAGAAAATTGTTAACTTTTGATATGATATCTTACCTCCACTCACAAAATAGCTAGAATCCCACATGGAACTGGTGGAGGGCCAGCGACAAATTAATCCCCCTTGAGGAAGCACCCAAAGAGTGACCATAAAGTGTGGAACCAAAAAAGAAAATATCACACCACAGCAGGAGATCACATCACATCTGATCCAGGTATACTCTCCCCTCTTTTATGACTGTGTTACAAACATAGAAGGTGGAAAAAATGAAGGAATCCCATATTATTTATTACCTATGAACTCTCTCAACACAGGCTCGGTCAATAGATTTAGTACTTCTAACTTTCAATATAGTGTGTGTATCTTCACAAAATTTGGTAGTCTTCCAGTTCATATTATAAATCTTTGAGATACAGAAAATCTTATTTTTTAGTGGAGTATTTTTAATAAAAAAAATAAAGATTTGTCCATTAATATATTAAGTATTTGTTTTGAATAGTCCATGTGCAAAGAAATTTTAATGTTAAAATTAAAAATACTTTTCTTCCACTCAAATTTCCTTTGTGTAATCCCTAAAACCTGGTAAATGCATTTCAAATGTTTTTTTTTCAGTAAAACATTATAGATTACCTGTTATTTTCTCTGCCCTATCTCAAAATAGGAACAGTCAAATTGACCGTCCTTGTAACCACCAAAAAAAAAATTAAAATAAACTTAAATTACCCCTTTTTTATTTCTAGAATGACTTCATATTGTAACATGAAACTTCATTTGTTTATCCTAAGTGGCTTTCTAACTATTTGACAAGAGCCATTACAAATTCATCCAAGCTAGTTGTTCATTTTCCCACAGGAACAAATCTTTTACTGTGAAATTGACAATATTCTGTTTGGAATACAACATTATACAATACGTCATTTTATAGATGAAATCCTTGACTTTCTATTGATTATAGGTAACATATAATGTGAAGCAACTGGATATTTTTGAGGGAATTTTACAATTGCTTCAGTATTTTTAGCATTTTAAAAGAGTTTAAGAAAGAAGTTATAACAATTTTCTAAGTTTACTGAGTGTACATATACATGAAGAAATGGCGTAAGTAAAAGATGCCTGTATTGTGAAATGAGGTCATGAGCTAAGAAAATACGGTTAGCTGGTTAATTGGTATTGAAAATCACGAGTTAAGAGTTATGAAAAATGAAGTTACAACCAGGATGCTGAGAAAAATGCTGGTCATGAGTTTGAATGTGATAAGTTACTGATGCTGAGTTAATAATATAGTAAAGGCTACTACAAGGTTTATGATAGCATCTCAAATTGGTGCTTTGATGTAAGATTTGTTACTCCAGACCAGTGTAGAAGTACAAGTAAAAAGTCAACCAGAGCACTCACCATCACAGTAACCAGTTACTTGAGAGTTTTGGTTCTTGTTTTGGAATAGCCCTGGGAGTTGCACAGATTGACCAATAGAGTGTTAGAACTACTTGTGGGTAATTAGGAATACTATTTGAGAAGTTGAAAGAATACAAAGAAAATATGGTTTAAAAACTCATGTCTGGAGCTAAAAATCAGTTCTTTCTAGGAATAATTGAAGTTTTCCCAGAGTTGCTGATAGTTCAAAAATCACAAACATAAAAGTGTCCAATCTTCAACATTTTACCAGGCCAACTGTGTTGTAAGTAATGAAACTATTTCTCTCTTAGTCAATTAATGTAATTTTGGATGGATTATAAAGAATCATATGAAATTTAAGAAAGTAAACCATGTTATGTGTGAGTTATAATTATCAGCGTTGTTTAACCTAAAGGTGTTCTTTTATGATGAGTTTGCAAATGATTAAAGCCTTACTAAAGTGTATTTTATGTTAATAAACTTGATGTATTGTGTTGAATATCAGTCTCAGGATCAGTCTCTTTAGTCTAACCATAAATCTCCTTGAGTTAGCGACTTGTGAGTTCCACTCTCCACTGCAATTCTCAATTAAATAAATTTGGTGTAAACGGCAGTACAGTCAAAGCTCCAACGACTAGCCCTAAGAACACTGCCCATTATAACTGGTGCAGTCTCGAGGATTTTTGGAGTAGCTAATGATAGGTTGGTTAGAGTAAAGAAAGGAGTAAAAGCAAGAAAGTTAGCTGAAAGTACTATAAGTAGTGCAAGCTAAGAATAAGTAGTAAGTGGATATGGCTACTGCTGGTGTAGACATGACTACAGATGAGGGTGGTGCATGCGCTAGAATCGATAGAAGAGCTGATGCTAACTATGAAGCTGCAGCAGAACAACCCGCACAATTAGGTCCACTTGGCACTATGCATTTAACGAGCAATATACCATTATATCACAGTAGAGTAGATGAAGATGTTGAGGGCTTTATTGATGCCTTAAATGAAGCTGCCGAAATATTGGGCTGGACTGATGCCCAGAAGGTACACATTTTAAGATTAAGAACAGCAGGAGAAGCAAAGCGCTATATTAGGGCTTATAGCAAACTGTGTGAAACCATAGATTTTCAGTATATAGTACGTAGGTTAGTAGAGGAGTATAGGAAGCAAGAAACAATAAATGTAATTTTAACAGAGATGCGCAACTTAACTTGGCAATGAGGCGAATCTGTCCGAGGCTTCGGACATAAGTTGCAGGAGTTATGAAATAGGTTGCGTATGGCTTACATGCACCCGAATGAGCTAATGATACAGGACATTTTAAAATATGAGTAATGCAGCTAGATGTCATGTAAATGAAGCAAATACTCCTCAAGCAACTTTGCTTGATCTGATTGAAGTAGCTACTCAAGAGGAGTTGTGAAAGCAACAGATATACAGACCCAAACATTCTGCTGTGAATGTAGTGATTAGACCTAGTAAAGCAGATTGGCAAAACAAGCAAAGTAAGCCCAGTGTTTTAACTGTGGTAAAGTTGGTCACATGGCAAAAAATTGTTTTCAGAAACAGAAAAGAAATCAACAGGTAACATGTTTTAATTGTAGCATTAAGGGTCACCTAGCTCGTGATTGCAGACATCAACAGAAGGCAGAAAACAGAAAAGCCCAAAAGGCTGGAGCTTAAAGAGGAAAGTTCCCAAAAAATAACAGTAGCCCTACATTCGCTATATAGTCAAAAAACGTAATCTAGGCCAGAATTACAGAGCAAAAATAGAGGTAGTTCAGGCAGTTTGGGATAAAGATTTAGTGTCCATAGTGTTAATGAAGTGTCGCCAATAGTTGTAGTAGAAATATAAGGTATAGCATGTCGGTTATTGGTTAACACAGGCACTCGATCTTCACTACTAAGTGTAGAACTAGTAGATAATAATCCAACATTGTTAGATAATGCCTGGAAAGAAGTTTCCAGAAGTATTTTAACTTCTATAATAGGAAATCTTGTTAAAACACTAGGTAAATATAATGTACATATGAAAGTAGGAAAGTTAGAGTTAGAACAATCTGTAAGCAAATAGACTCAGAAACAGATGGCATCATAGGGCAAGATTTCTTAAGGGCTTATGACATTGAAATATCTCTTATTTTGGATAAGGTACACATAGAAACAGAGATCTTATGTTTTGAAGGACTTTAATCCTCAGACTTATGTGCAACCATTGAGACACATGATACATTCCCACTGGCTAAAGTTAACAGTCAGATGCCTAATGCTAGCATTAGCAAGGATAATAATCAACAGTCAAAATACAAAAGCACTGATCTCAAAGTGTAGCGATACACGACAAAGTCGGAGAAGTAAGAATAATAAGTGTTTAAAACGAAAAACAGGGAATAAGAATACACAGGAATGCTCTAAGCCCAGCAGAAGTGATGACGGTAATCATAAGAATAAGGTGAGTGTTAGTAAGATGAGGCACAGTAAGCTAGCAAGTGAGACTTTAAAACAGGAAGATAGTAATTCATACCCTTCAAATGACTCTACACTTATGCCTAACATAAGCAACAGAGCATCCAAACAGAAGCGTTTGAAAGAGAGTACCTGCAAGAAGTCAATTTATCATTGACGGTAAAGTAAATGATTTTAAGTATAATGAAGAAGTGTTGATCCAACCTATTTAGATAGGAGAAACAGGAGTTTATATAGCTGCTTGTATTAGTAAAGTGTCCAGGAGAAACACAGTGTCTATAAAAGGGTTAAATGTGAATGAAGAAAAGTAATACTAGCTCAACGTATAGTAGTAGTAGAGAACAATTAGCTGCAGTAGGACAGTATAGTGTTAATAATGCTAAGAAAGAGGTACAAGAAAGTAAGATAGATTGGGATTCTATCTTATGAAATATACAAAAGAAACATAAACAGGGTTTGATAACATTGTTAAAAGAGTATAGAGATACATTTGTAGGAGACAATTACTTTAATGGTTGTCCAAATAAAGTTAAACACAAGATAGTGTTCAGTGATAATAAGCCTATAGCACAGAGACCTTATAGAATGCCAGAAAAACATAGGGTTGAGTTAAAAGAATGTGTAAAGAGAGGCTTGAACAAGGAGTAATAAAGGACAGTAGTAGTCCATAAGCATCGCCAGTTGTATTAGTTCCTAAGAAGGATGGAAAATTCAGGTTCTCTGTGGATTTTTGGAAAGTGAATGGAGTAACAGTCAAAGACATCTACCCATTACCTAATATCCAAGAAACATTAAATAGGCTAGGTAAGAGCAAGTACTTTTCATCTATGTATTTGCAAAGTGGGTATTGGCAGGTAGAGATAAAAGAAGATAAAGCTAAAACTGCTTTCGTATTACCTTCAGGCAAATATCAGTTTAAAAGAATGCCTTTTGGCTTATGCAATGCCCCTTCCACATTCCAGAGATTATTGGACATTGTATTATCAGGCTTGCAAGATTTGGAATGCTTTTGTTACTTAGACAATGTTATAGTGTTCACTGCAAGTTTTGAAGAACACTTAGAGGTTAAGGCATGTATTTGATAGATTATGAAAAGCAAATTTAAATCTTAAACCAAGTAAATGTCAGTTTCTGAAAAAATAAGTAGAATATTTAGGTCATTTGATAACTGCAGATGGTGTAAAACCTGACCCTAAAAATTTAGAGGTTTGTAAAAATTATCCAATGCTTAAAACAGTAAAAGATGTTCGTGCATTTTTAGGATTTGTAGGATTTTACAGAAGGTTTATACCACAATTTGCACTGCTGGCAAAACCTTTAACTGGGCTAACTAAGAAATAAAATTTCAGTGGTCAGATAAAAGACAGGAAACATTGAAGAAGCTAAGAGAAGATTTATTAAAAGCACCAATTTTAAGCTATCCAGCTATACTGAAAGCTACACTCAAAAACAAAAAGCAAAGTTTAAAAAAATTAAAGAAGCAGTAAAGAAAGCACACAAAAAACATAAACAAAATTTAAAAATTTTGAAATCCAAAAAAGTTTTTTGAAGTCTCAAAAATTTCATAGTTCAAAAACAAAAAAAAGCAAAGTTTTAAAAAATTAAAGTGGCAAGTGAGAAAGTTGATCACTGACTTGCCAAATCAAAAAGTGAAGATTGAGTTCAACTGCATAGAGGGAGTCAGTTGTTCTAGGAGTGTGTGTTTCACTCATATTGGTGGAGGGTTGTCACATGCTTATTTGCATGCAATGCAGTTATACTATGTGAAAAACAAGTGGAAGTAGATGGGAGTATCAAGGTAAGTTATTGTATCAGAATATGACTTTTCCTTGTAATATATATTTTGCATATATTTGAAATTTTTATGGTCAAGGGGAGGACTCGAATCTCCCAAGCCATCTCCGTCATTGCACACACGCTCTAAGTAAAGTAACACTGGTTATATTTGTTGCATGTTGTAAGTAAGCAGATATTAAGTTAAACTACAACTGTTTCGTCGAAATATGAACAACAGGCATCACTGTGTCAACAACCACTAGGCCACATCCTCACATTCATAAGTTGTCTAAAATCAGAGCACACAGAACATGTCAAGAGAAGCAGTACTAACTATCACATCTTATATGAGTCCAGTTGACATGCATCTAAAGCTGAACAATATTGTTTAAGTTATAGAAAAGCTACTGGGGTTATCTCCTACTAATATAATTTTACTGTCAATCCCACTATTCATTGGTAAAAGACTCAGCAGTGGGTGTTGTAGACCAGTTCTCTTCCCACTGATCAGCAGTTAAAATCATGAACAGCTGCATATATCCTTAGTAGCTTTTCCAGAACTCAAAAACAAATATTCAATGCCCCTGTGATTGAAAGCATGTTTGGTGACAGTGGGAATTGAGCCTGAAACTCTCATATCATGAGGCAAACCCCCTAATCACCAAGTAATGCTGGCCCAAAGCTGAACAAACTTGATATAATTGAAAACATAATAACAAGAAATCATAATGGCAATATTTTGATTACTTGGATAGTTGAAGTAGTCAAAAATAGTACTAACCGGAAACCCTAATTCTGATTGGTTGATTATTTTTGTGAGTTGTGATACTAATTGATTAAGTCAAACAAAATTCAATTAATTGAAAATAATAATTAAAAATCATAATGGCAATATTTCAATCACTTGGATACTCAAAACTCTTATTCTATTGTTTATGTTTAATTTGTTTTAAAACAGGAATAATTAGAAAAATAATCTGGTTAGTTGATTATTTTCATAATTCACAACATTAATCAATTAAGTTGAACAAACTTTAATTAATAAAAATAATAATGATAAATCAAAATGCCAATATTTAATTACTTGGATAATAATCAAAAACAGTAATACTTGGAAACACTAATTTTGATTTGTAATTTTTGTAACATTAATCAGTTTAATCTAAGTTTAATTGGTAAATTATTTTATGTGACACTGTATGATGTACTTGATACTTACTGTTAATCAATTATATGGATTAATCGAGTTAATCACCTAGCTCTAGTGTATTCTAAGTTGTTTTTTTATCAGTATTTATCTATGCAGTTTGGAATTCTGTACCATCATGAAAAAATGGTATTCCCCTTCAGACTTTTCAAATTTTATCAGTTTCATGTTTCAGGTAAGTAATGAAGCATTAAAACATTGCCTAAAAATAAACCTGGGAGATTTACCTATAAACATGACAGAGAAAAAGACATTTAACTTGTGATTTATAACAGTTTGACTATCATTTTAGCAACTATATTATAAAATTATTATTATACTAGCCACAAATTGTACATATCATTCTTTAATTAAATCACACACACACACACATATATATATCTATGTTTGCTTTTAGTGATTTAGTCCAGCAGCCTTATGTTCTCATATAAATATGGGTAGAAACAAAATGTTTACCAACCAAAATAGGAACTGCTGATTTAAAAAAAAAAAAAGATGTTTGATTATTTAATCAGAAATATAATAGCCAAATGGGAAAGAGTATCATAAATCTTTCAGAAGTTTAGGAACAAGTGTTAATATCATAAACACAATGGTGTTCTCAATACTCCTATTTTTACAGTTAGTTTACTTTTCAGTTTACTGTAACTGTTGTAAACATTCAAATATACATAGTAACATCCTATAAAGAATATAAATACAATGTTCTTTAAAAATAAAGGTTCTGGTAACACTTCAAAATGCTATAATACACCGAAACATAACATTGCACAAGCCTTATCCAGTATGTAGATATTATGATAAAATCTTACCTCATCATTGTTTGAACCTTTAAAGTTATAAATAGCTTTCACAAGATGTGGACAACCATCAGTTGCCATTTTCAAGATGAAAATAATCTAAAATTTCAAATCCACATATTGAGTGTTTTCTACATCATTTTAAGTTTCCCTATAATAAAACAAACCAAAATTTTTGTAAATACTTTTGTTTTGGAATACAAAAAAAAAGTAGTATATTTTGAAATATAACATCAGGTATAAGGAGAAAAAAGGAATTCTCTCCAGACATATAAACAAAAGGTTCTGTCCTAAATAAGACAAAAAAGTAAACTTTGAAATTACAAATGTGTATGTATGTGTGTATATATATATACACACACACACACACATATATATATATAAATATGTGTGTGTGTGTATATATATATATATATATATCAAGGGTAAGAGTTTACTAAAATAAAATGAATAATATTTACATTATGCGAGTATGTACAGTTATAAATACTGTTTCTTACACTTCCATAAAAAGCTATCTAATCTAACTTTATTACTACAAAAGTAGGTCTAAAAATACCATATGGATTGAAGCAATAAAATTACCAAAAATTTATTTTTTCTTTTAACCTTATACAAATAAGTTCATTGTGCACATGAAACATTGGTGTCATGATTTTTAATTTTCTTGCAAGTATTCACATGTACTGTCAGTCTAATGTTTTGTGATTTTTATTGTTAACTAATAACTTCCTTTATCTAAATATAAAATAATCCTTTATATTTACATATTACAATTAAATATAATTTTATTATATGCCTAGAAATTGTTAACAATAAAAATTAACTATTAAAAACCAGAAGGATACCTGAATAAAAATATCTGTCACATTTAAAATACAGAAGGTGAAAGCAGCCACTGTAAATTGTTATAAACTACACACATAACTGGTTAAAAGCCATTTGAAAACAAAAAGTATTGATTATTCCACTTAAAGATTTAACATTGTAATTTACTTCAAAAATGTGCAACATTTTTGTCATAATAATAAGTGATTTTTATGAATCAAAAATACTAATGAGTGTTTGCTCAAATATCTACTATAATACTAACAAACAATTTCAACTTATAATTGTTTAAATTTTTGCGAGATAAAAATCTTACTGGACAAATCATGTAAGAAATGTTATTATGGTAGAATTCTTCGCAAGAAAATGGTAATAGCATTCAACCACTACCAAGAAATATAATTTTAACTGCCAAAAATGTGTTTCAAACATTCATATTAGATTTGGCATACAATATACTTTTCACAGTTTAAATTTGTGCAAAATTTATCAGCCCAAACGTTCTAGAGTAAGACATATTCTAACACTTTTTTTGGGTCATTTAGTCTCACGTTAGGTCAAACTCCTCCACAGCTTACTTCTTGCTATGTTTTTGATATATTTTTCTGATGCTTCTAAATTTCAGGTAAAATTTTTTGTGATGTAAAAAATGGTTAGGATTTAGATGTTCTTTTTGATAAAACCCTAAATCCCTTTGTTGAATATTTAGCTATTGTTAAAAAAATAAAAAGGGTTCTTGTTTTTACATACAAATTTTAAATTTAAAAACAGGAAGGCACTATACGAACTTATGCGAGACTCCATTTAGAAAACTGTGAGCAATGTCTGATCCCTTTCCTACAGGAAGGTTATCATCACATTGTCACTGAATGACAGTCTAAGATCCCCGAAATTCTTTTATCTTGAAAAACAGAAGAGTTAGAGAGTATTTGATTAAAGTGTTTAAGACTGTTAGGTATACAGATAGTGATGATTCGTCATCTTTTTTATGCTTAATGGTGAGAATGGTAAGATTAGGGGACACAAATATAAATTTTGGTAGGGCAGGAGTCATCTTTGCTAAGACAGCTTTATTTTTCTAACAGGGTGATTGGCCTTTAGAATAGGTTGCCTTCAGGTGTGATGGGTGCAGTTAATCTAGGGGAAGACTTGATATATATTTGAATGATTAGAGATGGCATTGAGTGTTTTCATTTTAGTTTAGTAGATGGGGTGGCCTAAATATCTTATTGTCCTTGAATTATATAATATATGTATATGCATGTATATATCCAGTGGTCAACAAGGCCTTTCGCCAATGTCAGTATTAGTATTACCAATACCAGAATTCTTCAAGCAGACTGGGAAGTTTACACTTACAACTACATGCAATCTATTATGTTGAAAATTCAATCTTCGTTAATGCTCGTTTACTACACTGTGAATTCAACTGTAACAGTGTTCAAACTCACAGTGTCATAGTCTCACGATTCTTGCCATCATTGTACTGTGTGCAGCGCAGCAACTGAAGAGATGTATCACACTATCAGTGCATCTTATATTATTACTACTAGTACTAGTTAACTACACTGTGATGTTTACTAATAGAAATTTTGTAATTGTAGTGGTAAAAAATAACTTAATGTACTAATCATATGATTTATGTGGAAAATTTTTATAAAATAATTTATACTTTCCAGTTTTAGTTTAAAGTTTTAATAAACATAACTTACAATTATTTCACTGTTATAAAATTGTCTTCCCCGTTTACAACTACTTATAATATTTTTATAAAAGTAAATACTAAATGGTGAGACTATATTTTCTCATGCCGGCCTTTAGCGCCCTCTTTTAGTAATTATTCAAAAAAGGTAATTATTGAGAGCGTGAAATATCATGAACCATCATGATAGAGTTCACCCAGGATTTTCACAAAAATTCTAATAGAACATAGGGGCAAAAACCATCTTAAAAAGCAGACTTGATCTTGAAACAACACACAAAACTTTCTAACCTCAATGACTATTGCTTCTAAAATATTGATAATAATAAAAAAGTTGATTTTCCGATTGTTAAACAGAATTCAAAATTCATCTATTTGTTCTTCATATTATTATTGTTTCACAAGCCTATAGAAAAAACGGTTATGAATATTTTATTCGAACCTACTAAAAGAAAACGACTGCACAGGTCTTAGTACTATTTTTATGATGATCCTTGAAATAGTGGGATATATTTTATCAGTTTTTTATCGCAACTGGCCAAGTTTCTCATTGCAGCCATTCAAGCACCGAAACCTACAGAAAAAACGGCTAGGTATACTGCACCAAAATCTATGCACAACTACTATTCAAACTTCTTCGAAGGTTGTAGGGCTATTTTTAAGTATATTCCAGATACTTTCGCCCTCTGGAATAATGGAATTTTCTGAGTTATTCGAAGCCATTTAATCACCATTAAACTAGTCCGAAATACTCTGTTATATACTAGTCGGAAATGCTTTGATTTATTAAAGTAAACAATGTGTATATTTATAACAGTGTCTCCAGCCTTATTATTATTGATTATAGTTTTAGAAGCCGCTACAGAAAAAACGGCTACGAATATTTAATTAAACCTGGACAATAGTAATGAATGTAGCACTCAGTGTGTCATAAGGTAGTTATAAAACTAATTCAAGTGTCTTCGTTTTGTCACCTTGAAGAATTTCTCTAAGTCCTTCACTTTCAGCCATTGAAAAAAATCGGTGTTTTAATAATGCAACTTATAGTGCATTAATTAGAAACTGCTATTTTGAGAATTCATCATTTCTCGAGTTCACTGTTGTACTTTGTCTCTACGTGGTTTTCTTCGACTATTTCAGTGAGCTTTCTAATATTAGATTATTCCTATAGTAGATTTCTCTACTCTTGTGAGTGGTGATTTATTCTACTGATTTTCGTATTTTGCTGAAATTGTGAGTGCCTATTTTAGTATTATTTCATTATTATTATTATTCATATTTATGTTTCCCAAGCCTATAGAAAAATCCACTAAGTATTTTGCACCAAAACCTAAACAGATATACTATATGAAACACTGCGAATGTCTATGACCTATTTAAAAAGTTGATTATTTTTCATTGAAAGACGATTTATGTGGCTATAAATACATAATATTGCCTATCTACTTGTTTGTTAATTTCCGGTATAAATTCTTTCCGAGGAACTTCAGCGATACAAG